ACAGGCGCAAAAATGCGGCGGTGTCAAATATGTTTTGTGAGATCTCAACCCTCCCCTATACCTCTAGCCAATGTAGAATAAAGAAACACACTATGAAAAATAGCGTGCATGGTGAATGCAACATTACAGATAATACTTTTTAAAAAATCACATTATAAAATTTAGGCGGAATGAAGTTGTGAGAATTTCCTGGCCCATAGAATATACCCCCAAGAGATAAAAGAAAACCCTCTTAGATAAACAAAACGTCTAAGATGGCCATTTTATTAATACTATTATTTTAGAGTTTGGTATATACAGTACTTAATAATTTGAATATCTGTGTCCCAGGATCTGAACAAGAAATTGCTCAATCTAAATTTCACCATGTCATGTTACAGTGTATTATTACTTATTAAATATGATTTCATGATAAAGAATGTCAATTTCCGTATTTGATATAAAAATCCAATACCTATTGATTTTCTTAATATATTGGTCTAATTACCATTTAATTATTTGGCACGCGCCGATGTTGTCGGTAAGTGTTTTTATCAACGAACACGTGTTATATTTGCGGTCAAGCATAACCGGGAGTTTAAGACATGTTGTTTTACTGATTTGAAAGATAAAACCGAACCAATGACATATCAATATCAAAAATGTCTGTGAAGAATTTTCGAGAATTGAAATTTAGAGTGTAAAATAAATCATTGTTTTATTTCTAATAAATGCAGTTTTTTTTTTTTAAATAAACATTTAATTGGTTATCATTCTCTCTCTTTGACGTTTTTGCAGACAAAACAATATGCTGAATTAATTTAAATTGTCAGACATTCAACTCTCTCTTATTAAACTTTTAGCATTAAAATTTAATTGCATGAAATTTAATAAGTATTCTCATCACTTTTGCGGATGACTTTAACAATATTTACCTGTAAAATGATTTTTTTACAGAATGTTATATATTTTAAAATTCGTTCATTTTTATAGACACTTAATTGCCCTAAAGCTAAATGTCATCGTCAGATGTATAAGGGTCTGGATGGGGGGTTCTTTATTTCTGTATTCTTTAATTTTTTATGCCATTTTTCTCTATTCTTTATACTTTTTGCCCATCATTCTCTATTTTTTATATTTTAGTACCTCATTATTCTCTATTCTTTATTTTGTTGGTCATTTTCTCTATTCTTTATATATTTTGCCGATTATTCTCTATTCTGTAAACCTCCATCCACACCCGGCCCTCATGTATAATGGAAGACGATAAACATTTTAGTATACATACCACCTGTTGTTACTTCTTACCTGGACACAGGACTTATATATATTACGTATATAAGTACTCATGTAAAATTATCGATATGGTAAATTCAGTAGAATATAATCTGTATAAATGCATTGGCATGTTAAAGGTATTTTGATCTGACAACGAGAATACATTTGTTTTTCTTAAATGTCATGCTTTTAGGTTCGAACAATGCACAAAACCATCGTATTTTCAAAAAATCTCTAAAATGTGCTGACTTTGGGGCCTACTTTGGATATCAAGAGATTGGTTTAACCTAGCATTTAGGGTTTTTAAAAATATCCTTTTAGGAACCAAATTGTGGCTTTTTTATATTTATATTAAAATTGAAATTCAAGGCCATATTTTGCCAGAGAACAAAGTTAGCAATTACCCAAAGTGCGATATGCGAGAACAGGTTTCGTTTTCCTTAAAAAAAAAATTTATTGAAGTAACGAAACTTTTAAGGTCACGTCACGTTATTATATTTTTAATGAAAAGATGCAACATTGGATGCACCCTAAACAAAAAATTAAAACTATAAAATGGCGGGTATGCGTCAATCAGACAGTAACACAACAACAGCATTCGTCAGCAATACGCAATTGTCATTACAGTCAATATGTCATGTTAATTAAGGCCTTTAGTCGAGGTAAGTTGTGAATAAAGTAAAAGAGACTACAAAAGGTCTGTTATCAATCCAAAATTCTTTATAGGGAAAATACAGTATCCTGGAAAAGTTCCATTTTGCATTAAACCACTTTTCAAGAAAAAAATCAATAATGAAGTCTGGGCGTATTTCTATGAAAATGTTTTTTTTTCTGTTATCGTATCTTTCTTTTCTTGTGCGAATATTAACAGAATTTATAAGGCTGTGCGGCACCGACCATTGAAAAACATTTTTTTAAGAAGAGAGAGAAAATAAGAACTGTTTGTGTCTTTTGAAAATTAGTATAAAAAAATAATAACAACACTGATGTCTAAGGTCTAAGAAAATTCCTTATTCCAAAATATTTTAGCAAAAAAAGTTTTGTGTTTATATAAAAATTTTACAAAAAGGTTAGTTTCTAAACAAAATATGCTCGGCCAACACAAAATGAATGGTTGGTGATTTAATGTTATTTCTGCCTGTACTTTGCATGACGCTGCTGTATGAAATCAACCCTTAAGTAGGGCTATCGATAGCATGAAGAAAGGCATGCGAGGGTAAGAAATCAATTCGATAGCAACACAATACAAACACAAGTAAGTTACCTGACATCTAAAATTAAGAGGTATAAGCATAACCCGAGCTTGTATCAACTTTCTTAGTTCTGACTACGGTAAAATTCTATATATGTGTAGGACTCTGAAACGCGAAATCTACGAAAGTTTTTTTTTACGTACGATGGAGCGTGGCATTCTCTAAATACATACGGATCCACAGACTCTCCTTACTATGATATAACGGCAAACGAGGATCTCATGAGAGGAACAAAGTAAAGATAAATGATAACGCAGTCCACATACAGAATATCAAAGAGGACGATCTCTCATTTAGTATGCAACTGTAACTAATGAATACATAGAAATATTAAATGCAAATTTATATACTAACTTTGAAACAAATATACTGCTCATAATAATTGCACATCTGTAGATTTTAAATTAGATCACACGCGTCATATAGACCATCGCACATCATCGAACGGACCACTGCACTTCGGCGCAGACCATCGCACTTCAGCGTGACCATCGCACTTCAGCGTCCCCATCGCACCTCCGAGTCATACATATATATATACACTTCTTTTTACTTGATTTCAATAATTACAAACATTTTTTTATACCGATTTTCTGATAATAGGTTTTATTGTACTATAGTAATAATTATATTTCCCGCGGGTATTGCCCGAGGGAAATATGATTTATTCTAGGGTTTACAAATCTTCATAGCTGAAATGTTTTGAAGCTTATGTAACGAACATATATCTCTTCTTTATTAAATTGAAATGGAAATTAAACTCATAACAATATTGTGTTTTAATTAAAGAAAGTATGAAATTTATTTAAAAATTACCGTTACAAGGTGTCGTTTTCATTTATTAAAGCACTGGGTCGATACCAGTGCTGTGCACTATTAGTCCCTGAGTGTATCACCAGCTCAGTAGTCAGTACTTCGGTACTAACATGATTTATAACAAACATTTCTTAAATTGTCAGTAAAAGAAATGGCACTGACTGTGATGCTTAATGCAAAATATTACTGCCATGTCATTGCTGGTTCTAGAGAGGATTTTAATAGCTGTTTTCCAATTAGAGCTTATTTTAATCTTCGGACTTCCACTGCTTGCATCCCAGACCTTCATATCTTACTTGTGCTTCATTCAAGATATGACTACATTATCATTGTTGGTTCTAAAGAATATTTTTAAAGCTTTTGTACATTGATGACTATTCTAAGTTTTGTCCTCATGAATGATGGTACCAAAAGATCACTGGGCATTGATCTATATAAATTTGAATCTGTATGTCCTATTCATGCTTAATGCAAAACATGACTGCCTCCATCATTGCTGGTTCGTGTGAAAATATTTTTCATTTGTTCAAAATTGAATCTTCATATCCTTTTGATGTTTCATGCAAAATATGACAGCATTGCTACTGTTGATTCATAAGAACAAGACTTTTATTAAAGAATTTTCAAATTAAAGCTAATGTTAAACTATGGACCCCAACTGCTCGGACCGCATGGACCCCCGGACCTTCATTTATACAAACTTGAAACATCATGTCCTTCTAATGAGTCAGACAATATGACTGCCTTGCTACTACTGGTTCTTAAGTTTTTTTAAACTTAAAGTTAACCTCAAGTTCTTAAACCCCATAGACCTATTGACCACCACTTGAGAAATAAAAACATGAATCCCCTCCTACCAAGGATCATCCCTGCCAAGTTTGGTCCGAATTGGCCCAGTGGTTTCAGAGGAGAAAATTGAAATGTGAACTGTGGACGGGCGGACGACTGGCGCTTATTGATGACAATAGCTCACATGGCCCTTCGACTAACAGCTTAAATATTCGAATAAGCTACAATGCCAGAAAATGCAGTATATGTATATCCTTATGATTTATTCCCAAAATAATAAACGTAAAAATCAGGTCCATCCTAGTTTGATTAATTAGCAAATGCATGTAAGTTTATTGACATATATGACTGACAGTTCTGTGGACAGTTTAAAAAGTCGTACGTTCAAGTTTGCTAAAGTTGTGCGGCGCACAAGTTTACAAAATGTGTGCGCACAAGATTAAAAGTTGTGTGTATAAGATTAAAAGTGGTGCGCACAAGATTTAAAGTCGCGCATACAAATATAACATATTTCATCTTTGGCACTTAAGGGGTTCCGTAGGTATCTTCCTCCTCTTTTTAAGGAGACAAGATTATCTTTGGCACACGATAAATTCATGAGATACTACCCCGGCTTTTATCTGATAGGTATATTACCAATCAAATTCACGTAAAGATGATCCCCAAAAGTTCTAACTCAGTTAACTCTAACGCATCCATCTGAACTTGCATTTTTCTTCGTTTTGATCTTTAACATTCCTTTATACTTTATATACACAATGATAATATGTTGATCAAACATTGATATTTAAAAATGTACACTATGTGTGTATTACCTACGTATATATCGGCTCCATTCAGTGCATGTTTATACTTCTATAACTATTGTTAAATGTACTACGGATGACTTGTATTTACATAAAAAGGATTTAAATGAGATTAATACTCTGACTGAATTGTTTGAACTAATATGAATAGTAACTCTTCCCAACAGAGTGGACAGAGTGCGATAGAAATAAAGAATTTAACAATGTAAGGTAGGATTTTGAATGTACATTATAGAATATTTGCATATCGGTATTACTACTAATAAAGTTGATTTATTGTTTTTTTTTCTTTTAATTGGAACATTTTCCTCATGACACTTTTTAATTCAAAAGTTTAATAAGGAGCACGTTTTATAACACACATTAAGTTATTTTGTTTTTTTAAGAGGGGGTTGGAAGGAGAGTAGTATTTTTGCTTATTTCTGTGTAAAAGGTGTTTTCTGATTTATATTTGTCTAATTTTCCACGAAATTTGAAAGATATTTAAGAAAGGTTGTTATATCAATAGTCCCTTTACAAAAAACACAGCTTCACTCACCTCTAATTAATTAATATTATAGTATTCTAAAATGCAATATACTTAAAAGGTGCACAACTTTGTCCTATCTTTAACAAAAACTCGATTGACCCAGGCGTGATTCAGTACATCATATAGTGTGTCAGTCAGTCAAGTACAGATACCTTCATGCCAAACTTGAATCCCCTTATGTTGTTTGTTTTGTAATTTGCAGTCGTTTTGAGATCTATGTCAGATGCGGATCCAGGATTTTGAAAAAGGAGGCCGCGGGCCCTCAAACTAGACAAAATTTGTAGTGGAACCAGTAAAAGTCTGGATTAACCATAAATGAAGCTCCATAAGGGGGCCCGGGATCCCCCCTAAATCCGCCTCTGTAATGTTGAATTTATTCATAATATATCTGTCATGAACCGGAGTAATTTAAGACGGGATTTGTGATTTCTACACTTGCATCTCATTAAAGATGCTAGACAAGACAAAATATAATAAACTGTGTTGACATCTACGTGTCATTATATATGGTGTTGAAATGTCTTCTAATCAGATCACAATTTTATTTAAATTGTATTCAATCGTATAGAATGGACGCATCATGTGTCAATAATTATCAGCATTGAATTCAAAATAGGTCGACTTACATCTACTAGTATAGTATACTAAATATATATATAGATCACCATATCTTATAACTGTACACCATTATTTTATAACTGTACATCAACATTTTATATAATGGCCACTGTGGTTGTCAAGAAATAAAATTCCCTTTTGTATTAGTTCCCATTTAAAACAATTCCGGGAACTTCTATTCCATAGCACAGCAAGGTTGAATAAAGCCTGAAATCCTAGGTATCATGATGAAATCTCATATATGGTAATATGATAACATAAATTAATAAGATCGGTACTGTATATTATATATAAATAGCATCGAATTATTTTATAATCGTAATAAATCAAGATCTAAAGGGTGGCTTATATCTAAATATATTTATTGTATTTACTTGTTTACAAAATAATACAAACATCGAACAACTATAAATACATGTAACTTTCAGTAATAATGATATTACATATTATAATACTAAGAACTTCATATTTTCGTTTTAATAACTTTATATGACACAATAAAACGGTCATTTGAGATAAATAGAATAGTCATTTAAGATAAATTGAATAGCTTTTACAGATTTTGCTGAATATTAAAATATCAAATACAACGTTTATAATGGTTGATACTGTTACACACATTTTTTATAATTTCCAAGAATTTTTTTTCAGATACATAACTGGTCTTTCGTTTGTTTTTTTTTAATCTTTTTTCTTTGCAATTATACCTTTCTTTCTTCAGTCATTTTTATTCTCAGACGGTTTCATATCTAATGGCTGACGGTTTTACAGTGTCTTTTTTCTTCCTTGGTAGAAAATCTTGTAAGCAGTCATCAATTATATCTTGTACTATCAAACATTCTTGACAGAATATTCTGTGAGCTGACACGAATTTCCTATAGTGGTTATACAGGAACAACTTTTGGTTCATTTGTAGATTTTCAATCCTTTGCACTACGAGATTATCTAATTCGACGGATTCTTTCTCTTTTTCCTTTAACATTTGATATGCTTTTTCTTTTTCCCAAATAGGGGCTCTGTCACTTTCGTAAACTTGCTCGACTTGTCCTCTGACATTGCTTAATTCTTTTTGAAGTTCTTTTCTTGCTTCTCTCGCCTCCAGCACTAAATGGAAATATTCCCCAAACTGTTGGAACCCGTTGCCAAGTTTGGCAATATCTTCCTCTAGCAATGAATACAAATCTACACTGTCTTTCAGTACGTTTTTGAAATGACCATATCTTGACCAATCCGTTTCACATAGTTCCAATATTGTACCATTGAATCCTTTCAAAGCGTGTTTCATGACTTTTACGCTTTCCATACACGATACAGTGGCAGTACCTAACTGTTGAAATAATTTGACTTGTTGGTAAAATTTTGGTATCAGTTCTTCTACTGCATCTTCAATAGATTCCATAATTTTTATTATGCCGTCGATCGCCAACGCAACCGTTACTAATGGAGAGTGGCGACGTCATGATATGCACCCTTACCGTAACCTCCTTGAGAACCAACTTGAACGTCAACTAAAAAAAAGGAAATAAATTCACAAATGAAATATAAAGATAAAAATTGATCTTTGAAGATATTCCAGATTTATAGCTACAATTGAATTCTATAAAATATGTATTGTTGTTTGCTTAATGTCAGTGGCAAATATTTTAATAGAACTCAATAATCGAATAAGCCCGTTAAAAGTCGACCCGGCTCAAAGTGTTGGTCTAGTGCAAGGCGAGGTTATAATTTACCCTTTTATCGCGTGCTTAGCGGAGAAGCAGCAAATTTCAATTTTAAAATCTTGATGTCACCCAGGCAGGGGTTCGAACCCACAACCTACCCGCGAGAGCTGAGGCAGTCTTTCGACTAACGAATTTGGTAGAAAGATTGCTTACTGGACCATGTAAAGTATTTTTTTTTTTTCATTAAGAAGAAGTCTTTCTAAAAATCATTCAAAACGGAATAATAGAGGCCCAATCATTATCACAGAAATATTTAAAAAGTGCAGAAATATCAAAGAAATTATGTATTTATTTCATTAAACCCAATTATGCCAACAGTTTTTGATTTAGTTTTAAATAAATCAGCTCATTATAGTATAGGGATTGTAAAGATTTCACTTCTATTTTCTATATAAATTATAACATTTAGAATTGAAATCATTTATTAGTTGCACCCATTAGAAATAATTATTAAATCTTAAATATATATAAAACTAAGGAGATGAGGTATGATTGCCAATGTGACAACTATCCACCAAAGTTCAAATGAGGTGGATGTAAGCAATTATAGGCAACCGTACAATCTTCAACAATGAGAAAAAAACCATACCGTATAGTCGGCTATAAAAGGCCCCGACATAAAACATATGAAACAATTGTATTAACAGTGAACTGAATGAGAGAGATGATTTGGAAACTGGTATATTGATTTATTAAGGTGGTACCCAACACCTTGACTAAAATTAATTTGGCTCGTTTAATTTTCATTAAATTTTGACAAAATATTTACTTTGACCCTTTGAAAAAAATATAAAAATTTCAAAAAACTTGCCCCAATCACTTTCTCGGAAAAATTTCATTGGATATATAGCAGTTTGACAAACACTAATTTTAATAATTGAGAAGCTTAATATTTCCTTAACAATACAACGTAATTAAAAAACGTTTAGCTGATTTTACAGAGTTATCTCCCTGTAGTGTTAGGTACCACCTTAAGAGATTATGATGAATAATATCATACCATAAGTGTTACCCTCGAGTATCTCATATGGCAAAACGACTTTTAGCTGTTACGTGCATAATATTATTTTTGAATTAAAACAAACCTATATGTGACGCGTACTAAATATTTGGTTTTGTTTAAAATTTAAGCATCACAATTTAAATCTTAAAGTTGTTTCACAAATATTTTTGGTAGTTGAAATCAAATCAATCTAAGAGATGTATTTTTTTACTCTTGGTTGTTTGTTTTTCATTATAGAAATAAATTCAGTTTGAAGCTGATTAAATCAATTATAACAGTTAAGATATACATAAGTCGTTGAAAGTATATAATGTTTTGATAATGATCAGATATTTAACAAAGCGAATTTATAGACCTTATATGACCATACACATTCAATAGCGAATCTGTGCATGATCTTGAAATTTATCGAAAAATCATAATTATTTATAAGACTATAAGAGAGTTTATGATAGCTGATGTAAATCAGAGATTGATTTTAGACACCCTACCACGAACATTGTATAAATAGAAAATTTAAATAGGAATTTGTTGTTTCTCATTCAGACATTCGGCATTTAAGAGTAAACCCAAAGACTGGTGTGCTAGGAATCAAAATAATGGGTCCGGGTATGGTGGCGATTTCCCCTGTAGACATTACCTTGTGAACTAGCACGTTAAAAATTCAACTCGGCGTGTCGGTCTAGTACAAAGTAAAGTTCATATTCATATCACATGTATCGTTCTGAAATGCATAAAATATATGTCACTGGACAACGTTAAACACCAAACCATCATCATCCTTAGAATCGTTTACTAATTAATTCAGATACAATTTATCTATAAAATGCTACAAGGACCAGAATCATTAACCGTGCATAATGCCATTCAGATACATTCCAACACTAATCTTCAGAAGTATGCAGTAGGACATTGCATAAAGCCGTGCTTTCTTTCATCAGCAAGGACACTTGATTGGATGTTAAATGTATCTGTAAAAGTCAGTCAAGCTTGGTTTTAAACTAGTTTTTGGTTACTGAAAATACTTTTAGTTCGGGAACTTTCGAATCTGTTTGTTTTGTGTTTTCCTGTAGTTGCTTTACTCCTACGTAATTGTAATATCCATTTTTTAATTTTTTTTTAATACATCCATATCCTTACGTTCTGCGCAATGTTTGTTTCTTTTCCCCAAAACATGACCGAAATACCACGAAAAAACCGTGCATGAACTATTTTACAATTTAATCATTTACGTGTCTAGTTTATTCAAAATCTAAATATGTTTGTGTTCTTTATTAAGTTAAGCATGTGCACTTTGAGGGTGGGATGAGGGGTATAGAAATACCGGCCGTCCATCAGTCCGCAGTCTTCTATGCGCTCTCACCATATTCACGCGTACAATATTAATTAATGCTTGGCACATTTTTATCCAATTTATATCAAACTAATGTTAACATCAGCAATATCTCAGACGAGTTCGAAAAACAGCGCAGATCAACTATTTTTAAAGGAGTTATGCCTTGGAAATAAAAATATGCATGTATATTGTAAATTTCATTGAAGGCGCTATTGTTGGATTTTTATGAAATTTATATCTCAGGTGTATATCACCAATTTCAAGGACCGTTCCGACATAATAGCTGAAAAAATATTTTCCCAGGAGTTATGTGCCTTCCAAATGTAAATTCTATGGACTAGATAATACTATGTTAAAATAGTAAGGAATATTTTCTAAAAAAAATCACAAAAAAAAAGTTATGTTAGAAAAAAAAGCTTAGGGCTCTTGAGGTTAATTTAGGACGTTTCTGCGTATCGAACCAAGGTTGATAACATAGAGTCAAAATATCCTTCAAAGAAACATTACCCGTAAAAGTAAGCACATATAGACCGAATGTTTACAATTTATATTGATGACTTAATTTACATACAATGTGTACGACACATTTGTATATATGAAATATTAGACATATTAAGCCATATTTTCAATACCATAAATTGCCCCCCTCAGCTTGTTATTTCTTTGAATTAAAACGCACAATACCCTGAAATTTAACCTTTTAGATTAATCGACGTTACGGGGAAAAATTCCCTTTATTTAAAGTTTTAAACAACACCATAACATTATAGTATAAACATCAACTATTAAGCTGATTCACAAATATTGTTATTCATATAAATCAAACTGGGACTTAGACTTTTAAGTGACAAAAATCCAGTTTTTATTTTTATAGCATTAGGAAGAATTTTCAATTAAGATTAACTCTTCAATTAAATTTAAAACTGATCAAATCGGTTAAAAGGTAAACATAAATATTAGAAGGAGACAACATTTTGATAGTGATAAAAGATTTAATGGCGTAAATGTCCAAATCTACTCGGACCATAAACCTTCAATAGAGAATCGGTATGTATTCTGTAAGCGTTTTTAATGCATCTTCTTTTATTTTTCATATTTTACTAATTATATTCGATTTTATTTTATTGGAGACAAGAGACGGTCCGACGATCTCCGAGTCCTCTTCTCCACCCTTATTTTTTTTATTGCGAATCCTTTTATATGAATAGCTACTGAACGACAAAACTGTAAGTATTTTTGATACGGTATAAATAGTTGTTTATTTTGTGCTCTTGTTACCTATTATACCGTCATATTGTAGAGTTTAGTTCTTTTGCTCTATTGGTTTTTATTGTTTGTTTTTTTTTTCTATGTTAGTTTTATTACTCTGCTGAATGAGATTAAGAATAAGGGGGAGAGTTGAGATTTAAAAAAAAAGCCAAGTTTAACCCCTCACCCCACACACACGTTTACATGGCTCTGTCCCAAATCAGAATCTGCGTCAATAGTTGTCGTATGTTATTATATATTAATTCATTTCGTTAATTGATGAACTGGGTTTTTAAAGTAAGGCATTTGATTCTTTCTGTTAAATTTACTCTCTACGTTTACAGAATCCTGATGACGTAGAGCTTGCAATTTATTTAGACTCTTGCCTATTGTTGAAGATACATGCTGTCGTTGATGTCTTTTTGCTATTTTTGTCGATGGGTCTCTTTCGGTGACGTATACCCTACATCTCCTATTATTTATAAAAGATATCTAGTAGATGGAACAAAATCTTCAGCAATAAACCGGTATCTATTAAGTATGTCAAGCTCTATATCGTCCAGAGTCTATGAAAGTTGTGATCGGCTTCATAGAAGATTTCATTCAACTTCATAAACAACACAGAAAGACTTGATCTTGAGCCATGATGACACCCCCCCCCCCCCCCCCCCCAAAAAAAAAAAAAGAAAAAAAAAGAAACACTTTAGTATTTCTACAAACAGCTAACTGACGTTCTACCCAAAAATACCAAACGCAGTAATTAAACAACAGTATAATTATAACCTTTATCAACAAGTTTATTAACCCGAATAGTTCTCAAATTTTTTTATGAATATTAGAAAGTTTTTTGACTATTTTATGATATTTATCTGGTGTAAAAGTTGATAGTAATAAAACATTACTTTCATTGAAATATGAGACATCACTTTTTACACTCCTTTTCAGGGCTTTCTATCTTCGTACTCGTAAAGTCAGATCTAGACAGTGATGGACACAGACAATTTTTTCTGTACACTGATTGATTCTGATACACGGCCTGGTTCTAATAAAAAAACATGTTGGTGCAAAATAGAGGTATGGGTAAAAGTGGGTCATACAAATACAACGATTTATTATTTATTCATTTCACAAAGATGTTCCTCTGCCAAATACATAGCTTTTAAAAATACCGATGAAACTTTACAATTTGATTACAGATCAGTAAGTATAGGTTTGCTTTTCTCCATCCGTTTCTCCCCTCCCCCAGTCTGTTTAAACAAGTCTTTTAGGGGTCCGTAATTTACTTATAAATGTTTTATGGCGCTCTATTTAAACGTGGCTCAATGCACACCCTATTACCGGCATACATTACGGCAGATACAATAGCTTTGATCTGCGTTCACGATTACAATTCAAAACATTGTTTTTTGCTATAGTATACAGCAACGACTATTATCCTAAAATAAATGTGGAGAAATATTACTCGTAAGTCATGAAGTTTCAGTATAATTTTCAATCAATTCTAGTCGTAAGATTGTTTTAATAAAAGAGCCACTCAGATAATTGTGCCATTGCAATACAATGGAATTTGTAATCATGTACTAACATCATATATTGATCTATGTTACATGTTGCATTTGAAGTACAAATAGCGGTTAATAGGATGTGCAATAGAACATTATAAAATCATTCATGGACATTAGGAACTGTATTGACTAAACAAGAGGAGAATTTCTGTTCCGATCGATTATCAAATATACAGACACTTAAGTTTGCTTGTTTACAAATTCATTCATTAATGATAATAGTTCGGTATTTTACAAAAATTAGTGCTGTTTCAATCGAATATTTGGATTAAGTATGCATTCATAAGAAATAGTGTCGCTCATTTTCACCTTATATAACTATTGTATTCGACATTTTGTGGCAGATAATTCATTTACACTAGAACTCAGATAGGGAACAAATTCAACAAGAGAATAATTTGTAATAGTTATGTAGGTTCTTCAAAGAAATAACGAAGGAAAATTTGTACCAATTCTCCTTTGCGATAGATTTCATTCCTTACAACAGGTCAACTACAGACCCTACAATGCGTTAATGCAAGGCCTCTTGATCGTTTGGAATTTAGACGCTAACTCTTTTGCCTCCGTGTTTGGAAAGCGATCTCGTTACAATACTGAAACTTTGAAACAACTCGTTAGGAGTAAAATAGTCTGCGGGAATTTATTCATTGTGCATGTAGTTGATTATCCTTGCGCAAACAAGAAAACCACAAGTATCCGTTTGATATCTGGACACTTCACGATAGTTGTATTCATATCATAAGAATTTTTATCCAAAAAACCATTCTATTGTATAGGGTTATAGGGTATTGATTTTAAGATTAAAACTGAAAAGATGTAGTATTACCAGTAATTTAGTTATTTACACAATGTGATATATTTGTACATTACGTATTTATAAACCTTGAAAGTTTACATAGATATGATACCTGAAACTATAGACATGTTATACAGGTATGGTGAATAATTAAATACATAAAGGCATACATTTATGAATTAATTGTACTACTATACAATTATGCACCTATTTTGCAGGACAAGACTTGATAGATCACGGATGACATGTGGTTCGCATTTTACAGTTTGACTATGCCACTGAACATATATTCATAGTGGAATTTCAATGTTTAGTTACTATGGCATCGGACATAGATCCTGCATTATTAGCTCTAACTGGATCTAAGATTGAACTTTTGATCAGTTGTAATAATCTAGCTGACTTGGATGAATTCACTAAGTCTGATCCAATGTGTGTCATGTTCATAAAACAATTTGGACAATGGAAGGAATATGGGCGAACAGAGGCAATACGGAATACGCTGAATCCTAGAGTAAGTAGCAGAAAAACACAATTATACAGATTTTTATTATCCTGCGTATCTTTTATTTCTCAAGCAGATGCTTGAATATATGATTTTTTTAAAGTGCAGATTCAGCAAAAAATCAGACAGAACCAGGCCTTGACACCCAATTTGATATAAAAGAAGGGACGTCATATCTTTCAAATTAATTACACACACTACGATATAAACAGTGCAAAGCAATCAAGAATGCATCAAATGATTTAATATTATTTAATTTGATTAAACGTAAATTATAATTGAAAGCATAAAAGATAAGAAACAAGATTTTTTTCTTAATGTTGCGTATTTTACCGATAAATTGACTTAGTTATTTTGCAGTTAACTTTTAGATACAGTCTACTGTCATCAATTTTGTCAATTAAACCCACATGGAATTTTATGAAACTTGGACAGAAACTTTTTTGTGATGAAAGATAGCATCCAAAGCAAAATTTAGAAAATATTTTATCAAAACGTCATGAAATGTTAGGAAACTTGGACAGAAGCTCCTTATGCCGAATTTGAATGATTAATGGATTAAATACTTAGTTTGACAGTAAACAATTACACTTTTAGACTAACGGCAATCGCGCGCGAAATCCAGGATTATGCTGAAATTTTTACATTTTTTATAATTTTTGGTGACATTTCATGAATAGATGTACAAATATTTCCATTTTCTGTTTTTTAGTTTGTTAATTCCTTCATCATAAATTTAGAACCATCAGTTACACAGCATTTGAAATTTTCACTATATGACATTGACAGTCGGTATGTATTACATATACAAATCATTAGCATTATGGTCCACTAATTGCTATAAACATCTCTAATGCAGATCTTTAACAATTTTTAAAAAAAGGTTGAAGCCAAAAAAAATTAAAAAAAATCCGATTATCATTGTACACACAGGATTTTAATTTCTTAAAAAAACTTCAACGTAATCTAGTTGCACTAAAATATAAGATCTATTTATTCAAGGGTATGATATTTCTAAATGTGTAATTTGTAATAAACTTAATTACACAATGCCTAGATTTTTAATATTTCAGACTTTTATTCAGTTTGTCAGTTAATCGCCCCAGTTAACATACCAATAACCTCTAGAAAAAATGTGTTTAATCCGATAATGTCTGATTATTTAGTATTTTGATATTTCAGTTCACAAGATCTTAAACACCATGACTTCGTTGGCTTTACAGATGTGACCCTAGACAAATTGTTAAACTATCCAAAAACTGTCTGTACAACGAGTAAAAACCTCAGAACTGCAGGTAATGTCGAATAGCTTGTACTACAACTGTTCAACTTTTATCTGCACAGTCAACATGCATTGATCGTAGAGACGTTGACTTAATACAGTACCTGACAGTATAACGCCTTGTTTGTGACGTTAGTAATATGTTTCCCAGAGAGTTTTATCTATGACGTCAAGAAAAAATAGATTTGCGGAATTTTTACGTCGTCCTCTTCATATTTATTATTGCTGATTTTTACCTGCGTGGATGGGATTAGCAGAATAGAGAATAATGTGCAAAAATAGCAAATAGAGAAGAAATTAATAATGGGCACAAAAAATAGAGATTATAAGAAAAGGAGAATAATGGGCACAACAAAATAGAGAGTATAAGAAAAAGAGGATAATGGGCACAAAAAATAGAGATTATAAGAAAAGGAGAATGATGGGCACAACAAAATAGAGATTATAAGAAAAGGAGAATAATGGGCACAAAAAATAGAGATTATAAAAAAAAGAATAATGGGCACAAAAAATTAGAGATTATAAGATAAAGAAAATAATGGGCACAAAAAAATAGAGATTATAAAAAAAAGAATAATGGGCACAAAAAAATAGAGACAAATAACCAAAATATTAAAGAGTACAGAAATGAAGATCCCTATGATGCAGACCAGCATAACAAAAATAAAGAGATGTGGTATATTGGCAATGAGGCCAGAGTCTAAATCGTATATATATATATGCTATATATAGAAGTGGCTTTGAACGTTGATACTTTTTTACAAAGCTAAGGCTGTCTGGTATAGTTTTGTCATTTGAAATACTATGCAGTATCTCTATACACAATGTACCCGCAATAATATACAGATGTAATAAATGATCTTGCCAACATTTGTTGCCTGGCCCTTAAGGATTTTGGGGAGGCGCTGTTAAGACGCACTGTTTTAAATCTTTTGATTAGTTTATTAAGTAAGCCGTGTGAAACAAACTGGATGCGAAATTAAGGATCACATCCTTATACCGGCTATCGGTACGGTAGATCGATGCAATATGTAACACACGTCATATTAAAATATGCTGTAGGTGATCGCAAAATCCATTCCAATCGGAAACGAAGACACAAATCTGCTGTACACGATAGGCAAAACAATGGTCTTTAATGTCAATCGGGAACACAAATCCAATTGTATATGTCGTACCAAGAGCCGGTAGTAGGGTATGTTGATTTATTTTGTTTTAATTTAATTCTTTCAGGCGACTCGCGTCCACGAGGGATGATCAACATCACAACAGAACTATTGAAAGACTCGAGAAACAAGGTCAGCATTCATGCTCAAGGACATAAACTGGATAAGAAGGGACTATTTTCTATGAATAAGGTACGTAAATAGACCAGGGACATAAACTGGACTAGAAGGGACTATTTTCTATAAATTAGGTACGCAAATAGACCAGGGACATAAACTGAATAAGAAGGGACTATTTTCTATGAATAAGGTACGTAAGTCATTCCGCACATTCTATACACATTTGCCAAAGTCTTAACACAATTTCTATTTTGACTCATCTTTGGGCATGAACATTTTATTACAGACATCAGAGACATATAATAATTGTATTATATGTCTCTGCAGACATTGTGACTTCGGTGATAATGTCTGAAAGTAAGCAGGGTGATAGGCGAAGGAAAGGGAAGGACGATAAGCATGACATATTTGCCACTTGACGTTAAACACCTATTCATCAAAAAAACCTTTTCTCTGAAAGGATAATGCTTAAGATTCTGATTTCGAATAAAAATAATCGTTAGGTATGATGAAATTTGTATAAAACTATATAGTATCCACTCATTTCATTTTTGCATGTTTATGTTAGAAGAATTTAATAATGAAGGTATACGTAATCGATAACTGCTTAAATAGAAAATATTATGCAAAGTCATGTATGGTTTTTTTTCTAGCCAGACGTGTATCTTGAAATATCACGGAGTATAGAAAATATAGTTTACCTTCCTGTTTACAGAACAGAAATTGTTTATAAGTCTACTAGTCCTAGGTAAGAAAAATTGAAAACCTGTACAAAATATCGATTACTATCATATTACAATTTTGAAAATAAGGCAAATAAATATAAAATTGAGAATGAGAACGGGGAATGTGTCAAAGAGACGATAACCCGACCATAGAACAGAAAATAGCCCAAAGCCACCCATCAATGGGTCTTCAACACAACGAAAAAATCCCGCACCCGGAGGTGGGCTTAAGATGACCCCAAACAATAATGTACGCTAGATCAGCGAAAATGGATGCCACACTAAACTCCGAAACATACAAATGAACAAAAATAAAAACAAAAAACATACAAGACTAACAAAGGCCAGAAATGCGGCAGGGTTAAACATGTTTGTGAGATCTCAACCGCTTCCCCTCTCCCCTTACCTCGAGCCAATGTGGAATAAACAAACAAACAGCAATACGCACAGTAATCTCAGTTTAAAAGAAGTCCGAGTCCAATGTTGCTCTATTCTAACATTATACAAATAACATTGATCAACACGAGTTAACAAAGGGCTACATGTAATAGCAGTTACTGACATACCAGCTTCAGGCCTCAATTAAACTGATAAATGTTACATTTCTGTAATACTTTTTTATTACTATTTGAATTGTAGCATATATAAATTCGACATTTTGGTAAAAAAATTTCATATATCACGTTATGAAGTGTAATCATATCTGAGCAATTAATTTCTATCTTAATTTTCAGAGCAGATCTGACAAATAATTTTAATTCTAAAGGTTTTTAGAAAAAAAATAAATGCCCCATGAAAATTAATCAGTGTACATTGTACGAGTACTGAAATTAGGTCTATCAGCACACAGTCTCAGTTTTGCTGTGGTGGATCATCCATTGAACACGGTGATTTCAATATGTCAAAATAGCACTGATCAGCTTGATATGGGTAAAAGAGAGGCGAAAGATACCTAAGGGACATTCAAACTCATTAGTCGAAAACAAACTGACCAAAAGACAAACATCAGTATACAAAACACAACATAGAAAACAAAGACTGAGCAACATAAACCCAACCAAAAACCGGGGAAGCAAAAAAAAATAAATAAAAAACTATGCAAAAGTTATGAAATGAATGTTTTTGTTATTCCATCTTTTTACACTTTAGTTATTGATAAACAACAAGATTGAATACTTTTAGTCTGCTTTCAGAAATTGATTGATAGTGTATTATTTAGTATTGATTTAATATCTCCTGAATATCGTTTTCTCTCATACTGGTATTATTGAGATCAGTGCTTTTGTTAATTTTTTTGGTGTGTGTTATTCTGTGTACGTTGTATAATTCCGCTGATTAAGAATGAAACAAGTAGGTGGTTGATGACTTATTTAAGGAGTTGTCGTTGTCTATTATACCAGTAATATATTAAAGAGATAAGTGCCTTTTGTAACATATTTTGTGTTTTTGATATTCTGTGTTCTTTGTACTATTCCACTGATCAAGAATGAAAAAGGGGGATTGAGGTCTCAAGTAAGGAACCAGTATTTCAGCTGGTGTCCCACAGGGTTCTATTTTGGGACCGCTCTTATTCATTATTTATATTAATGATATTGTTAAAAATTTGATATCTTTATGTAGATTATTTGCAGATGACACATCTCTCAGCTACTCTAGTCGTGACACGTCACAAATAAAATCAGTGATCAGTCTCGACCTGAGTGAGCTGAGCGATTGGTCTAAGAAATGGCTGATGTCCTTTAACCCAGAAAAAACAGAAATTATGTTGTTTTCATACATTGAAACTCCGGAAATGAATTTCATATTCAATGGTAATAATATTAAAGTTACAGATTTTCATAAACACTTGGTTGTTACATTTAGTAGAGATGCTAAATGGAACACTCATGTGGAAAGTATCATAAAAAATGTATCGAAACATTTGAATGTACTTAGAAAACTAAAGTACAGATTAAGTATGAATAACTTAGAAAAGCTATACTTGACTTTTATAAGACCGTTACTCGAATACGCCTGTGAAGTTTGGGATAATATGGGTGTGGGTTATTGTAACAAATTAGAGCAGCTGCAGCTTGAGGCAGCCAGAATTGTAACAGGTCTTCCTATTTTTACTAGTAGTAGAATTATTTATGATGAGATTGGTTGGGAAACTCTAGCTTAACGAAGAGAAAGGAGGAAGTTACAATTATTTTATAATATTCAACATAATAATGCACCAGCCTATCTTTGTAATTTAATTCCACCAACAATCCAAAGTACAGCTGTTTACCCCTTACGTAATGGGAATGATATAATATACCCTTTTTGTAGACTTTCATTGACCCAAGAATCCTTCATACCTTCAACTATACGACTGTGGAATAACCTTAATGTGGTGACCCGCAACATTGACTCTTTAGGTAAATTTAAAACCGAATTAAAAAATCTTAAACTGAATTCAAAAGCTCAAGTACCTAAACATTATAAATTTGGCAATCGTAAACTCAACATCATTTTGACTCAACTTAGATGCTCAGCCTCTTTTTTGAATTATGATCTTAACAGAGTCAATATAATTTCAGATCCGTCTTGTAGCTGTGGTGCTAAGCGTGAAGATTCATTTCACTTCTTTTTTGAATGTTCTTATTATACGAATATAAGAATCAAACTATCTAATAATCTGAACTGGTTACCAGAGAACTCTCTACTAAATTTGAACATCTTAACCTCCGTTGATTCGTCATTAACTAATGATGAAAATGAAAGAATTTTAAAGAATGTATATGAATTTATTAAAGAGTCAAAGAGGTTTCTAATTGTGTAATACAGCACACTAAAGTGCATATACATGTATATTGTGTACAACCATTCACATCATCACACATCATCTTTTTACATATCCAATATATATAATGTATTGTTTGCATGCATGCTTTGTAAAAAATTCTATTGTTATAAATTATTCATGGGAGAAGACTTCATAAGTTTGATTAACTTGTGTCTCATCCCTTTTGCATATTTAAGCAAATAAAATATGTTTAAACTAAAAGGAACCTTTAAGTTGTCAGTAGTTGTCTTTAGTTACGTTTTACGGATTTTGTCCATTAGGGGAGGTAAGCGTAGATTTGTAATAATCTCTGTAATCTCTATAAATTCATTCATGATACGTACAATTGCATTTAACAAAATTTGGTGTAGCTTAGTTTTTGACATATTGTATACACATGGCTGTTATAAAATAAAAAATGTAGTTACTGTACAATGACTTCAGAATAGATATCAACGTTTTGGATTTGTTTTAAGTCTTTAAAAAGGCTGTCAATGAGGTACATTTATATTCAAATTCCCATTCATCCTTAGAAATTGAGAAATATACATTATATGACTGTTCTATCAATTCCACTGATGTTTATTTACTGCGGTTAAATACATTTACAGAGAAACGCTAGTTCATAAATATAAATATCTTAAAATCAATCAAAATATGTCACAGTTAGTTGCAATGCACCGGGCCTGTGTGGTAGAACCATTAGTTAAATATTTCGTTCAAAATAAAAACTGGCGCATTATATATTTTGGATAACAATTTTTTATGAAAAAACTTATTGAGGATATCAATTTGTTTTCTTTATGATCTTTGACCATAAGCAAATTAAAGATCGCTATAAATTTTCAAAGTGAATGTAATGTGCCATTATGAAGTTATTATTGTGTTAAGTTACTATCGTGTTTAATGGGATGTAAAGATAAAAAATCCATAAAATTTACCTTCAAATCAAAGTTTCTTTAGTAAAATTTAATATATATAATGTGTCTTTTAATCTATAAATTTACGGATGGAAATATCTGACGGTTTTGTGTTGTCATGATTTGAACGTTTAATTTTGTTACATATGTCCATAGCAAATCAAAATTTGAAATACCTTTTAGACTAGATTTCGGGTCCATTATAGGTACATAAATTGCACATACCGAGGGTTATTCATTTCCTTTTTAACATTATACATGTATCTACTTACATCATTGGCGGTTCTAGAGGGAGGGTTTTCGTAGGAGTTTAAACCCCTTTCTTAACAATATGTATTAAAACTCATGGAAAAATTTACGAACATTAAGCTGAAACCTCCTTTTTCCTCTTGAAAACCTAAGGCAATTTATGAATAGTTTCTGTTCGTCGTACTACTTACTGTTCTAACAGTACTTTGCCTATATTTGTTTGCTGTATGTACACATAATTCTATAAAATTAAATGAGAAGGATGTTCTGCTAATCTTAGTGTTTTGATCAACGTGAATTTGTACATTAATATTAATCAGAATGAAAAACAAATGTACCATGTACATTCACCTTTATTTCATTTCATTATAGGTACATTACTAAGATACATGTACATGATTACAAAGCCCTATGGTTTAATAGCATAATATCTTTATGTAAAATATAAATCTTAAATGTAAACATTCATAATTGTAGGGGCTTTAAATGCATTCAACGGAAAAATTATTTTTCAATATTTTGTTTTATTTAATGTAATGGTATATTTTATATTGATTGTTTTTGCAGGTGGCGACCTTTTGAAATTTCACTTCAAAAATTGTGCAATACAGAATGGGATCGCAATATTGAGTTCTCGTGTTGGCATTTTAGGTATGGTAACAAACACATTTATGACAATTACTGAACAACAAAAGATACAACTGCTAGTAGTCTGTTGTTATTTATGTATTATTGTCATTTTGTTTATTTTCTTTTGTTTCCTATTCTGACATCGGACTCGGACTTCTCTTATACTGAGTTTTACTGTGCGTACTGTTGTGCGTTTGTTTTTACTACATTGGCTAGAGGTATAGGGGGAGGGTTGAGATCTCAAAAAACATGTTTAACCCCGCCGCATTTTTGCGCCTGTCCCAAGTCAGGAGCCTCTGGCCTTTGTTAGTCTTGTATCATTTTTTAATTTTAGTTTCCTGTGTATAATTTGGAGTTTAGTATGACGTCCATTATCACTGAACTAGTATACATATTTGTTTAGGGTCCAGCTGAAGGACGCCTCCGGGTGCGGGAGTTTCTCGCTGCATTGAAGACCCATTGGTGGCCTTCGGCTGTTGTCTGCTCTATGGTCGGGTCGTTGTCTCTTTGACACATTCCCCATTTCCATTCTCAATTTTACACAACCGTCATTGATGTTTTTTCTGTTTCATTCTTATGTTGCAATTCAATCATCAAGGAAGTACTATTCCCTGAATAAAAAAACCAACTTCTGATCATTTTTCAGTTATCCGATTGGAGAAAAAAATTTAAATGAGAAAGCAAAATGTTTCGAAAAGTAAGACACATTAAACATCTGAAAACAAGAAAAAAATATTTCTATGAATAGTTTCTTTCCTATACGTAACCAGCAAACACTGCGAAAAAGGTTAAATCTCTAATTACTGATTTTCGTCTTTTGGTTGAAAACTCTTGTGTTGCTTCTAAAAAAAAATGTTCTTCTCTCTAAATACTATAAAACATTAAAAATAATTGAAAAAGGTGGTGTGTTACTTGTGCTTTTGGGTATGTGAATTTTTTGAACAGTGATGCAATGTAGTTCTAGGGATATTTCATGTTGAAACCTTTATGTTTTTTAGTGGTTCCAACTATCATTTGATAGGAAGAAAAATTACCTCACTCAGAGATATGAACAATCAACCTATGTAAGTAGTTACTGTAGATACCAGAATTTACGGCACTTGGAGGCGGAACCAATAACCAGCTCTTGGATTGAGCATCCAACAAAAAATCTTTAGAAAAATAAACTATTTCAAAAACCCTTTGTGAAATCAAATGATCAATTTTGAATAAACCATATTACCAAAGTAATCATTTCTATATTCACAGGATACGAACATTGTCAATTAATGCGCTTGCATTCAGTAAGTGTGGGTCTTCTTAGCAACGGATTTTTTTAGTATTGTTTGTGTGTACCTTTTTTTGTTGTCATTTACACAGCTATTATATATTTAATTGAAATTTTCTAACAATTTTTAATAAATGCTTATCAATGAGCCTTTTGTTGTTTCGGAATAGACCGTGTTCAAGTTCATGTGGTAAGTTAAGTGTGGAACTTTTTCAGACGATTTCCCATTTCATATTGTATGGGTTTTGTCTTTGTATTTTAGGAAATTTTTTTCTGATTTTAATATTTTACTTTAAGACTCATGAATACATGACTGTAATACGGAAATTAAATTTCTTTTAATTATAACAGGAATGGTCATTACAAGGAAGTATCATTATCTAGTCCAAAGAAGGAGAAATCGGGTAAAAAGAAACCAACTTATACTGGTTCCTTACGTTTTTATCAATTCAGGTAACTTTCTTGATAAAATCAATAATAAAAGACATAAATAATTAAAGTTAGCTGAACGATTTGTTACATCTTTCAATTGAGTTATTAGTATAGCAATAGAACCAAACATGTATTTGTTTTGAGGCATAGTTTCATTATATATTGACGTATTTCTTATATATTCTGTCATTTATTTTTTTATACAAATTGTTTTCAAAAAGATTGAACAACTGTCCTCAAGAAAAGCATTTTCGTTACCGTTTACCGTTAAAATAAGTCGGTACCTCGAATGTATAAGATAGCACGTTCACTCTTGGTCTCATCGTCACTCGATTGGAGGTCATAAGTAGAGCATGATCGCTATGTGGATCGAATGCACAAGCGTTGTTGATTGAGCGGTCATTATGTTTTAAAAAAAAAAATACAAAAAATACAAAAGCAAAAACAAAAACAAAAGCAAAAACAAAATACAAAAATAAAAATAAAAACAGAGACGAAAACAAAATTAGAACTCTGGTAGTTAGCTGTCTCATTGGATATCTACCATGATAGCCCTTACTTTATGTGGAGTCATATTAGGGATGAGATGTATAGCAAAAGTACTCGAGATATGCACATATGATAAAGGTGTGGTCCATGTCAAAATTTAATGTAGCCCCGCCACGATGGTTTTCAACAGAAGGTCCTTGTACGTTTTTAGAGATGTTCGGATATTATGGGATATGAAAATGATATATTCATTAGGTAACAATATAGCCAGTATTTGGTCTACTCGTTTGGTGTTGTAGTTACAGAAGTAATGACTATTACTAGTAATTGCTTTAATAGATGATAAAATTTCTATAAATAAGCGACACGGGCATTTTGTTCGAATACTGAAATGGGTTTTGTGTTTTCAAAACGTTTTTGGCTGTGTTGTTCACCACGAACATTTGAACAAGTCAAGTTGTTGCACCGGTGATGTATTGTATGTTTAATCCCTTTTTATGTTATTGTTCTAGCTCGGTGTTAAATAAAATAGATGTTACTGGTGATAGTTCAGATCGCAAGTTTAAGGATATATGATTTGAAATACAGAGTTACACCTATACTTATGTATACCTTTAGAAAGGCTTGTCTTTACATGAACCATGCAGTACTTTGTATTTTCTTTTTCGGAACTAAAATACATATGCAATATATTCATACATGTAAGTGGCAGGATAAAATTGAGAACGAAAAAGGGAAATGTGTCAAAGAGACAACAACCCGACCATAGAGCAGAAAACAACCGAAGGCCACCAATGGGTCTTCAACACAGCGAGAAAATCCCGCATCCGGAGGTGGGCTTCAGCTGGCACCTAAACAAAAAACGTTTACTAGTTCAGTGAAAATGGACGTCATACTAAACTCCAAAATATATAAATGAACTAAAATTAAAAATCATACAAGACTAACAAAGGCCAGAGGCTCCTGACTTGGGACAGGCGCAAAAATGCTGCGGGTTTAAACATGTTTTAAGCAAAATGACAATGATAAATAAATTAACAAAGGACTACTAGCAGTTACTGACATGCCAGCTCCAGACCTCAATTTAACTGATTGAAAGATTATGTGTTCATCATATGAAAATAAATCAAGCACAATCCCTCCCGTTAGTAGTTTAGTGTCATACCATCATAAGATATATGAAAAGAACATAACTCGTATCTAGCCAACAACTGGTTTTAGAATAAATGTGTTTATTTCCGATGCAAAGACCCTGTGAGTGAATCAATATTAATACCAAAATATGCCATCTTTAATGACCTGATAACAGTACCGTAACTATATCCCTTCTGAATAAGTCTCACGTTTAAAGGTTTGGTTAGCTTTTGAGGTAAATGTCGACATTTTTGTGCTTTGTAAAGAATATTACCATAAAAGATTGGATGTGAAATACCTGAACGTATAAGATGTCTGCATGTTGATTTATATTTACGAATGATGTCCTTGTACCGATGATGAAATTTAGTAAATGTTTTGACTAGGTTGTATGGAAACAATTGCAAACAGGACATGTGATTTAACACAAATGCGAGACTGTTGGAGCGTTTTTTTGGTTGACAGATATCTGAGAAGCAGTTAATAGTTCGTATGAATTAGTTCACTTGATTCCTTTCATCCCTTTTTCAAACCTCTCATGGAATCCAATATCTTATATATATATGAGAGGAACCGATGTGAACTTGTAATATTCCACTAAGTATATATTAATATTATGTATATACATCTTTGGCAAAATTGATAATCATGAAAATCTTTTAACCATTTTTTTAATATAAAAACAGTTGTACTGTAGGCCCAATAGATATATCACACAGGTCAGTCAATCCAATACTCGGTTAGCACTAATCACAACTTTTTGGGAGGAAACACCAATCAACCATTTTCTCGATTGACACATCGCACAGAGTGATTTCTTATGTTTGACGATAAATTTTGAAAATTTTTTTTTTTATTATCACAGGGTGGATTTACATTATACTTTGCTAGATTTTATACGTGGTGGGTTGGAGTTAAATTTAGTAATAGCCATCGATTTTACTGTAAGTATTACAACTATGTTTACACACACACACATCTTTGTATGATGAAAAAGAGGAGTTGGGTAAACACCATATTGACTGCAACGAAAAAAAAACTTACAAGCTAACGACACAGTAATACAAATGTACATAATAGTATGTTCGTTTATAAAACAGGAAAGGAGATCCTAACTACCAATTGAAACATTTTAAATCTATTTTTCATTGAGATCTAGCTCCCATGTTGTTCCGGAAATCCTATGATAATTTCAGGATTATTTACGAATTTAGTTCTTTGACATATAACTCTCACAAAAACTTGCTATAGTTTTGTCATGAGCCCTGTTCACAGACGAAATGAAAGGAGGACAGGGGAAAAGGGGGTGGGGGTGGGGGTGTCATGTGAGAAATGAGGTAGTCGATGTCGAATATTTGACCGAAACAGTCCCCCAACGGTTGATAAACGTCCACCCAAACGTCACCTCAATTGCTTTCTTTTCCGTTTTAATTTTTTTTATGCATTTTGAACACTAGTTATTTCTAAATTTAAAACGAATTTAGTTCATCATATGATTACTAGTAGTATAAAGGAAATGTTGATCTGTAATTATATATCACTTTTTTTATTATATAGGCCTCAAATGGTAATATAGACGAGGAATTATCGCTTCATAATATATCTGATATACGGGTATGTAAGTATGATTTGTTTCCTTCTTTCTTTCTTAAACTTTTCTTTTCTATACATCATGTTTGCATTTCTTTCATTTGAGACTTTCATTAAAGGAACAAATGCATCTATATAAATCATCATTATAAATAACGATCACTCGATTGCTCTGAAAGGGAAAATAATTATTCTAAAATTGTCATTATCCTATAAAGTAATCTGAGAAAAAGAACAAGATGGAGAATAATGTACCCCAACTAACCGGGTTAAACCAAAGACTTGAAAATGGGAATTTGCTGCTTCTCGGCTAAGCACGAGGCATTTTTAAGAGTCTTAGAGCACCGACTGATCGGTTAGGAGTCATACGGATTATAGGACATGTCTCTATCCTAACTGCTACCTTGTGAGCTAGCAAGGTAAAATTCACACCCAGCTTGTCGGTTTAGGACTACTATGGTTCATATTCATATCATATTAACACGTTCTTGTCCTACTATACATGAAATATTTGCCACTGGATGTTAAACTCAAACCATTTATCTAATAAAATACAAAATGAACATGACTTCAAGTTGTTGACTATTTTCTATGAATAAAAGGTCCGTAATTAGAGGTAAGGGATTTGGACCGCCGCTTAAGACCTTCAATAGTAGAGGACACAAACCCTTTAAAATCCGGTCGTACAAAAACTTCAGTTTCATGTCGAAAATTATGTTCAGACAATGAGAAACAATCTTATTTGGCTAATGATAAAATTGTTGTTAAAACGTTTCAACTGGATTTTAGTTTTTTTTCACGAAATTGTTCGTACTCAAATATATACAAGAACATGGGCGTACTTAAGATAAGCATTTCTAGTCACTTTCCAGATTGGAAATTTTATTTCTGAGGGAAAAAAACAGTCACTTTCAAGCTTGGACGTTTTATTGCTGACGAAAAAGCAGTCACTTTCAAGTATGGATGTTTTATTTCGAAGAACATCACAAATACATTCCATATCATCACGGCCTTTAATATATATTCTTCCCATACATTTCAATGGTCTAAAAACAACAAAGCTAACATGCGTGTATTGTCTGAAATACGTCCCTTGTATAATTTACCAAGATTGATAAAATTACTTTTTATCAAATGATTAGTTTAACTTGAAAATTTGTTTTGGTTTTACCATAACTAGACTGAATGATTAATCTTTTCCTTCAGGACAATCAATATTTAGATGCAATAGAAACAATTGGTTCTTTAATCACTCAGTACAACTATGACAGACAAGTAACAGCGTTTGGCTTTGGTGCTAAATGGATAAACAGGGATCTGCCATATTGTTTTCCTTTGACAGGGGATCAAAACAGATACACAGTTAAAGGAATAAAGGTATAATTGTATTAGAAATAAGGATAGTATATCAATTGGTATGCAATGTGTTAACTTCAAGTTTTGACTTCATTAAAAGTATAATTCTATCAGCTATGGTAATACTGTTTAAATGGATCATTAAGTTTTGACAGCTTTTTTTAATATTAAATAAGAAAGATATTTTGTTTTCGAACTCAAATTTCAATGACATTGTCGTAAAACAGAACAATTTCATATTTACCACAATTTATGAAATTAAGAGGAGTCTTTACATGTAACTGTTACATATACATATATTACAGAATGTGACAGAAACATATGAAACTGCAGTATGTAATCTCAAATTTGGTGGACCTACATGTGTCGCTCATGTCATTGAGAAGGCAGCGAATATTGCAGAAAGGGAAAATATATCTCAGAATAAACAAGTGTATACTGTATTACTGATCATTACGGTAAGTAATGAAAAGAATTACATTGTATTGTAATATAACATGCTTTTTGATGTCACAATAGTTAAAACATTGTTGATAATTTGATAGTTCTTTACCACCAATATGAATCTTCTTTCAATTTACTTCCAACATGAACAAAACTTGAATTTTCTCCAAAGAAACCCTACTTTTTATGATGTAGGTCTATGGTTAAAGTTTATTTAATTTAGACATCAATAACTTTGTAAAACCTTAACGGAATTTTATGAAATATGAATAGAAGCTTTCTTATGACAAAAAGTTACAATATATAAAGCAAAAATTTGAAAAATTAGTAAGTCATTTTCAGTCTTTCAGTCAATTTTCGAACTTATCCACTTCGGTAATTTCAAGACTGTTCAGACCATTTGCTTACAGACAGTTAAGATCTGTTCTGTCTATGTTCAGACTATTTGCTTACAGACAGTTAAGATCTGTTTGTCTATGTTCAGACCATTTGCTTACAGACAGTTAAGATCTGTTCTGTCTATGTTCAGACCATTTGCTTACAGACAGTTAAGATCTGTTCTGTCTATGTTCAGACCATTTGCTTACAGACAGTTAAGATCTGTTCTGTCTATGTTCAGACTATTTGCTTACAGACAGTTAAGATCTGTTTTGTCTATGTTCAGACTATTTGCTTACAGACAGTTAAGATCTGTTCGGTCTATGTTCAGACTATTTGCTTACAGACAGTTAAGATCTGTTTGTCTATGTTCAGACTATTTGCTTACAGACAGTTAAGATCTGTTTGTCTATGTTCAGACTATTTGCTTACAGACAGTTAAGATCTGTTTGTCTATGTTCAGACTATTTGCTTACAGACAGTTAAGATCTGTTCTGTCTATGTTCAGACTATTTGCTTACAGACAGTTAAGATCTGTTCTGTCTATGTTCAGACTATTTGCTTACAGACAGTTAAGATCTGTTTGTCTATGTTCAGACCATTTGCTTACAGACAGTTAAGATCTGTTTGTCTATGTTCAGACCATTTGCTTACAGACAGTTAAGATCTGTTTGTCTATGTTCAGACTATTTGCTTACAGACAGTTAAGATCTGTTCTGTCTATGTTCAGACCATTTGCTTACAGACAGTTAAGATCTGTTTGTCTATGTTCAGACTATTTGCTTACAGACAGTTAAGATCTGTTCTGTCTATGTTCAGACTATTTGCTTACAGACAGTTAAGATCTGTTCTGTCTATGTTCAGACTATTCTATAGTTGTTATTTACCTGTACACACCAACATCATACTGAATTGCTTGAACACCCATCGAATAGAACTGAACTGACTGCAAGCTAATTGTCTTAACATTACTAAATAACCACAGTAGACAAATATGAAAATTGACTAAAAGACTGAACATGACTGAATAATTTATTGTTCAGATTTTCAGATGATTTTAATATAGAAATGACTGCTTTATACTGCAAATCATTTACTAGTAAGACCAACAGAATCTGTAGTTTTCATAACTATAAATATAACACATTATTCTCGATTGAAATTGATTTAAAAAAATACTTGTGAGAAAATACTGTTTACCATGTTTACAAGCTTTAAACTGTATCTTTTGCATTTCAATGAAAATGAAAAATAATAAATAAAATATTTAGGTATTACATGTAGTGTACCGATGTTTTAATCTCATAAATTAAGAAGATACAAATCAAGATAAAAAAAATGGGAATCGAATGAATTCCAAAAGAAGCGTGACCGGGTTTGATGACAGACTAAGCGTCTCTTGCCATGCATTCACCACCCGGAATGTGAATCCACACCTATAAGTGTGATAAGTAAGTATATGTTTTTACAAAGATAACGTACAACATTGACTATGTTTTTACTTGTAGGATGGTGTTATTAATGACTTAGACCGGACCATACGTCGTGTTGTGTCTGTTAGTCATCTTCCATTATCCATCATTGTCATCGGTGTTGGACCTGCTGATTTTTCATTAATGGTAATGATGCAATAGTAATATAGCGGAACAAAAAACTTTCTACATTTCTAAACATCATGATAATTATATACAATAGCGAAAGACATATAAATAAAAAAAAACGACAAATAACACTCTAATTAGCATTAACTTTGATCCCAAACCTACTTTTCTAGCTTTGGATTTCCTTTTTGCTGTGATTGCAATCAAATGATTATATTTTCCAAGCCTTTAGTCACGGGCATACCTGATGAAGTTTTGCAAGAAACACGTGTTTTTGCTCTTTGAAGTTATATTATTTGTTTCCCTATTTGAAATAGGATCAATTATCGTCATATGGTAATATGACAGATGTCATTCTAACCAGTCAACAATTGTAATTCGGAGGCGCATGCTTTTATTCTCAGTTTGAGGTGGAGGCTATATTTTTATTCTTATAAATCTTTTCTTGTTCTTTTTGTACGCCTGTGTTTCTGCTTTCATTTTCCACAACAATGTATTGAATTATCGAACTCTGATCTTTATTTCCTCCATGATGCAGATGATTGGATAGCATATACCTGTTATTTTTAGTGACATCTAAACATCAACATTGGTTATATAAAATTTCTACCATATTTACTTCATATATTGTAGGGGCAATTTAATTCGGATCGGGAAGTCAAATTGAAAAATGACAAAACAAAGGAAGAAGCTCTTCGACGTAATACATATTTTGCAGCATTTAAAAAAGACCATACGAACACCAGTACAAATATTTCTGCAGTAAGTAGTTATTTGAATTTTGATTCATCATCATTGCTACCCTTGTGTGTTTTGTTTTTTTTATATCCTGCTTCACATAACACCCAATAGGGTTTCATTGGCCTAGGAGTCAACACTAAACTATCATTGGTGCAGTCATTTTCTAGTTTACTGTTATATAATAAAATATTAAAACCATTCGAAATACTACGTGTTTTCTATCCCACGGATAGACGACCGTAGCTAGATTTGGCATCACATTTTTACAACTTTGTTGTCTAATGCTCTTCAATCTTCTAATTGATTTAGGCTTCCTGCTTTGTTTCAAACACCACTATGGACGAAGTATGATGTCGGAAGTTGTAAATAAGAGGCCAGCTTGTGCCAATGTTTAAAGATCGTTAATCTAACTTGTATTTACAAATCACGATAAAAAAATGAGGGCATATCATTGACTTTGAATATATAATGTTCCATGTATTAATGCATCTCGGACTGTTCAAATAATTTTGCCTTGATTTCCTTGTGCGTTTTTAATGACAGCAAACATGAATAATCAGTAATATTTAGTACATTAAATTTACGTGGCCTTTCTTGAATAGTTCATTAACGTATTGTGTAAATAGTTCTGCTTTATGTTTTGAAACACAACATGGATGTTAATATTATTATGGCGAAATAATTCAGACAGTTTGTTCTTTTTTTAAATGTTTTTCCATGCGTAGATCACCGCTAACCTGATGAAATTTAATATCATATGTATTGAACTGCACGTGAAGATACGTTGACAATCTTCAGCTGTGATATCATAGAGAGGTTTGCAAGAAACATAGCGTTATTCAGAACTTCTATTATAAAGGCAATCTGCATAATCAAAAAGCTTCTTTAAATTAAAAAAATATGTCTGTCTTCAATAACACATTATATGACTGTCTTGTAGAATAGAGTAAAGGTAAATAATTCACCTCTAACCTGTTATTAGGGAGCTACCATTTGATTTTTATGGGGGGGGGGGGGGGGGGGGGGGGGCTAGGATGAAATTTGAAAAAAATAGGCAGGACAGGAGTTTTGAGTAAAAAAAAAAGGCAGGATGAGCAACTTTGCAAAAAAAAAAGGCAGGATGACAATTTATGTAAAAAAAAGTCAGGATAAACTAATAAAAAAAAGGCAGGACCGATTAGAGTGATAAATAAAAAGGCAGGACAGAGATTACAACTAAAAAAAAAAGCAGGACAAAATTTTTCATCCTAGCCCCCCCATAAATATCAAATGGTAGCTCCCTTACAATATAAGATTTTAATTTTGATAATTTATCAAATGCACTTACTAACTTGCATGTGAAAACATACATTTAACAGGAAATTATAGTTAAATTGATGAACGATCGAGTCTACTTCACTGCGCACGCATGTATGCTAGCCATTATTGTAAAAATACGGAAACCAGGTGTAAATTTCTTAGCAACAGAAATAAATAATTTTGTCATTGATGGAATGTAATTCGTAAATAATTTTCGTGTCATGCTGGCAAAATATTCATATTATACTGTAGAGGTTTTTATACGACTGCAAAAAATTTTTGCGGTCGTATATTGGTATCACATCGTCGTCGTCAGCGTCGTCAGCGTCGTCCGAAGACATTTGGTTTCCGGACAATAACTTTAATTTAAGTGTATGGATCTCTATGAAATTTAAACAAAAGATTCTATACCACAAAAGGAAGGTTGGCATTGTTTTTGGGGGTGATGGTCCTAACCGTTTAGGAATTAGGGGCCAAAACAAGCATTTTTCTAGTTTCAGGACAATAACTTGTGTAAAAGTATTTTGATTGCTCTGAAATTGTACCACAGTGTTCAATACCACAAGTAGAAGGTTGAGATTCATTTTGGGGGTAATTGCCCAAACTGTTCAGGAATAAGGGGCCAAAAAGGGTCTAAAACAAGCATTTTTCTAGTTTTCAGACAATAACTTGTGTTGTGTATGGATGTCTCTTAATTTGTACCACATTTTACAAAAAAGAAATTTTTTTTCAAAATTATTTTTTGGGGAAAAAAGGGGGGGGGGGGTAAAAAAAGTTTTTTGGGGGGGTGCAATTTTTTTTTTTTTTTAGGGAGGTAAAAAAAAATATTGGGTGGTAAAAAAAATTTTGGGGGGGTAAAAAAAAAAATTTTTTTGGGGGGGTCAATTTGTTTCCTCAAAATTTAAGAAATTGTCAATTTTCCAAAGAAAAAAATTGGGGTCACAATTTATTTTGCTAATTCTTTGTATATACATTTTTGTAGTCTGAAAACAGACTTACTAAGTATTGCGCAACAGCACAGTGTATTGCACAACAGCAAGAAATCTTCAATTGAATATAAATTCAAATCATACATCCAATTTCAAGTTCTTTGACACATTTATTCTGTGTCAGAAACCTATAATGTGTCAAATATTTAATTACAATCCAAATTTAGACCTGTATTAAGCTTGAATATTGTGTCCATTTTTGCCCCAACTGTTCAGGGTGCAGTCGTATCCAGCTGGCTCGGCGAAGCAGTTTATTTAATTTTACGTTTGTTCCTTGTTGAATATTTAATTTTCACTGCAAAGGTCATAATAGTGGTAAAAAATAGGGACTTGTAGATACAAGAGCTTCCTTGCATGGTTTTAATAATACCTTTCGCCTATATTTGCTATGTATATATTTCCTTGCTTGATGCGAATGTTATTATGTCCGCACTTGTCTTATCCAATTATGTTTTATTCCGATTATTGTTTATTCAGAATATAAGCCTTTCATTAACTTTCTGCGAATCATCGACAACATACTACAATGCGAGATTACTGTGATTTCTGGAATAATTGATATGCAAGTTTTTTGTAAATTAGTTGTTTCTCTTGTGTTTATTTGTCGCATTAATAAAAACTTCGCATTTGTTTTGTTCCTGAATTAGGAATATTAGTAATAATATGTATTCTGAATTAGTAATAATCTGTATTCTGAATTAGTAATAACCTCTATTCCTGAAGTTGAATAAATGTCAATATCATTATCGGTTGAAAACAGTTATGAATTGTTTTACATTTGTCATTTCGTGGACTTTTATAGCTGACTATATGGTATGGGCTTTGGTCATTGTTTAAGGCCGAACGGTGACTTATAGTGGTTAATTTATGTGTCATTTGGTCTCTTGTGGAGAGTTGTCTCATTGGCAATCATACCACATCTTCTTTTTATATGTAAGATACTAACAGTGTAATTAGCGGGTTTCTTTTTCTTTTGAAAAAAGGTCAGCTTTACATTAATGGTTGATGCTGTATTTATTTACTTACATTGCTTAATTTGGATTGTAAGTTTGATTATACTTAAGAATAAAAAAGTAAATCACAGGTCTGAACATTTATATTTTCAAAATAGTATCCATAGAGAAAAATTTAACTTCATAGTAAGATTGGAGTTATCTCACTTACTTCAAATGTTTTATCATTGTAGGCAAGGGAATCGTTTGCAGCTCTTTCAGTGCAAATTTTAGAATATATGAAAATAAACAGTATTCATCCAAACAAGGCCAAAATACTACGCACTAAAAAAGAATGGTTTGATCCTGACAACGACAAAGATGACACGGAGGTTTCTACAAAACTTATAAAAGTGTCTTCATCGGCGTCCTTATCAGGATTGTCCCTTAACGGTAGGTACACATAAACTGCATACCGTTTGGTTAAACATGTCTATTGTATTTTTCTAAATATAAAATCACAGATACACGAACTATATACAAAACATTTTATCAACACATTTATAGCCAAACGACTGTCAACGATTCTACAAGAAGGATCTCGATCTAAGTCTTCTGCATGCTTTCTGGGCTTAATCTGTAACTGCCCGAGTAAGCTTTCAGAGCATTCATAGATCTGACAGACTACCAGTCATTTGCTGTTTCTAACGTGTTTTTTTAAATTTTTAATTCAACTTTGTTTTTAGTTTGCTTACATTAAGAGGTTTCGAATGAATAATTGTAGACTGAATTACCTGTATAATATGAATTATAGCTGCAATGATTTGATGGGCCGTCAATTTGTATCTCAATCTGCCTGTCCGCTCGTTATTAACTCAGAGTCTTTATTAAGGAAGATCTGATTTTTGGTATGGAACTTCATAATGTTGTGTTAAACAGTGTATGCGATTTCAGACATCCTGTTTGTCGATACTTTGTATTATTCACTAAATTTTTCATCAATCTTTACTAACGAGAAGGGTGCAAACTATCGCTGCAACTTCTTGTTTTTGGTCATATACCTACAGCGACTAGTTTTATAGTATTATAGGTAATAGTCCGAATATTTGATGTATTAAATTAAGAATTAGAATAATTTAGCTTTTTTTGTTAATAGTAAAAAAAGATAAAATATGCTACACCGAGGAAAAAGTTATCAGTTTACTGAAGTTTCTTATTGACAATTTTTTTTAACATATTTGTTGAATTTGGAGGTAGCCTTTTTCAACAAGTTATCGGCATTACCATGGAAACGAAATGTGCGCCTCTCCTTGCCGACCTCATCTTATTTTCATATGAGTCGGAGTTCCTTCAGACACTTGTCAAAAAACAAGAAGATAAAAAAGCCAGTTCATTCAATTTCACATTCAGATATATTGATGATGTTCTTTCCATTAACAATCCAAACTTTCCTGATTAGGTTCCATTAATAAATCCTCCAGAACTAGAAATTATAGAAACAACAGACACGGTTTCCTTCGCCTCATTTTTATACTTATACCTCGAAATTGACATAAGTGGTAATCTCAGTACCAGAATCTATGACAAACGAGACGATTTTAATTTGGAAATTGTAAATTTTCCCCCACCTTAGCAGCAATATACCAACTTCACCTGCATATATGATATATATTTCCCAACTCATTCGGTATTCAAGAGCTCACAGCTGCGTCTTGTCCTTCTTCTTAAACAGTTCATCAGACGATACCAAGACCTTGTTGATACAGATTCCGTATCAACTTCACATATAATACATGATGGTCTTAAAGTATAGATTCCAGGTACTGATGTTGTTAATTATCTTAGGTACGTGGTAAAAGTGTTCTTTTTATTTGTGTTTGTATATTTTTAACCTTTACTGTTTAATCCATTTTTGGGAATATCCTTATGGCGTGACTCGGTATGGTCAGTTTTTGTAGTCTTGTCTTAATGTTTTGCTTATGTGCTTTGTCGATAGAGAGTCTATATGTCATTTTGTTTTTCGTTGTTGATAAAGTTGTTTGTTTTTATAGTGATTAAGATAATAACACAATGTTGACTGCTGTACCTCAAATTTTGACATTTTTACCTATTAATTCTGTTTGTTTTGCTCACACATCGTGTCAATATAATGGAATTCTATGCGACTGTCATACATGTAAGAGGTTTTGGTAGCTATAAAACCAGGTTTAATCCACGATTTTCTACATAAGGAAATAAATGTACCCAGTCAGGAATATGACAGTTATTTCCATTCGTCTGATGTGTTTGAGCTTTTGATTTTGCCATTTTCTAAGGAACTTTTCCTTGGAGTTCGGTATTTTTATACGACCGCAAAAAAATTTTGGGGTCGTATAATGCTATCACGTCGTCCGAAGACATTTGGTTTCCGGACAATAACTTTAGTTTATGTGTATGGAGCTCTATGAAATTTTACCAAAAGGTTCAATACTACAAAAGAAAGGCTGGGATTGTTTTTGGGGGTGATGGTCCCAACCGTTTAGGAAAAAGGGGCCCAAAACAATAATTTTTCTAGTTTCAGGACAATAACTTGTGTATAAGTATTGTGATTGCTCTGAAATTGTACCACAAGGTTCAATACCACAAGTAGAAGGTTGTGATTCATTTTGGGGGTAGTTGCCCAAACCGTTCAGGAATAAGGGGCCAAAAAGGGTCTGAAACAAGCATTTTTTTAATTTTCAGGCAATAACTTGTGTTTAAGTGTATTGATTTTTCTTAAATTGTACCACATTTTACGAATGGAAAATTTCTTCAAATGTAATTTTTTTTCGAATAAGGGGGGGGGTAAAAAAAATTGCGGGGGGGGGGAGGCAATTTTTTTCCCTCAAGATTTAAGAAATTATAAAGATTTCTTCAATTTTTTTTTTTTGAAAAGTCTTCAATTGAATATAAATTCAAATCATATAACCAATTTCACGTTTTTTGACTACATTTATTCTGTGTTAGAAACCTATAATGTGTCAAATATTTAATAACAATCCAATTCAGACCTGTATCAAGCTTGAATATTGTGTCCATTTTTGCCCTAACTGTCCAGGGTTGGACCTCTGCGGTCGTATCCTTCGCAGTTTATTGCTATTATACCGTTTAATTCATTTAAATTTCTAAAATGTTTTCAGCAACTCATTATCTGTTTCAGGTCCTTCTTGTCCCACATGTGGCGCACAAATTGAACCAGGAACGCATTTATATGCAGATATTGACAATAGTTCATAACATCAATGGAAAATAGAGTTTTATTAAAAAAGTATTTACATTGTATATGTTTTTCTTAGCATATGGACAATCAACATGGTAGTCTCTATATGTATATTCTAATACTGTGATACTCTTACATTAGTCAGGTTTTAAGAGAGAGAGAGAGAGAGAGAGAGAGAGAGAGAGAGAGACCAATATTTTCCTTGGGTATACTAATTTAAGCATTGTGTTCTTTGCAAATATCACAATAATGACTTACATGTAGTTTACCTTTTATAATGTTATATTTTATTCGTACAGTTTGTAATAGAAGGACGAATAGCAATGAACAAACGTTTGATAAATTTGATTTTTTTGCATGTTATAACCTTTAGAAAATGTCTTATATCAAATAATGTTTAATGTTTATACTTACTTTTACTTCATCCCGGCTTTTGCCATAGCATCGTCTTTTTTTTTAAACACATGCATTTTAATTTCAAATTTGGTATCTTCTTCTATTTAATTATCCGTCAGTTATGTATTGCTTAACCTCCAGTTTTTAGTATTAAAATTTCATACATATTCAGGGCTTGATTGGTTGATTCTTGGAATTTAACGCCACTTTCAGCACTCTTGGTTATATCATGACAGGCAGTTTTATTGGTGGAGAAACCCGTAATACCCGGAGAGAACCACAACCTGCGGCTGTAAACCTGTCAATCGTAGTCAATTAATATCTTAGTCAAATGGTGATGCACCTTACCACAAGCGAGGTTATAACTCACAAACTCAGTGTTGACGAACTAGAAATCAGGATAGATAAACTTCTTAAATGTATGCACATCTGTTATTATAAATTATTTTTGTTTCGAATTCTGAGGGTTGCCAAACAAGGTTGGGCAGTTGTGGAAATAGATATTTCGAAAAAGCGTTCAGAACCTGTCAATTAAGTCTGTGTTAAAAAGAAGTCATGACATCCGTGTAAAACAAATACTAAAATTGCTGGGGTGAAATCGAGCAAAAACAACACTTTTATCTATAATTGTTAATAATGTCCGATTCTTCTACTTGTGCATCTGACGTAACTGTGATTCCACATGTAGTATAACCATGTGTTTCGGATACAAAAATTGCAAAGCGAGGACTTGAAATATACGTCTTGTTAACAAATCTTTAATTGATGTACAAAACGTAACATTCATCATATTAGCAAAAAATATTAACAAAATAATGTTTAATGTTTTTATAACTACTTTTTTCAAAAGAGCAAATCAAATAAATCATACCACAAAAATTAATTTAGAATTAAACAACCTTGTAAACATGATTTATTACATGTAAAGGAATATTTTTTTCTTTAGTATATTTGTACTTCAAGTTTGTGGAAACGTGTTTTATATTTTGAACTTCAAGGTTGCATTTAAAACATAAAAAGCGAATATATATATTTTGTAACATAAATATACTTTTTTTTAAAACGTCTTTGTAAACATTTATCCAACATTTAATGGTGGACTTCTACAAATCGTTTTCTTCATTAGAATCGGTCCATAGACGTAGGCTGTAGATGAACACGCTTTAACAAAGACTGAATTGATGTCTGCTGCTGATCACCTCGGGGCTTTGATTATTTATAGTTTTCCTAATAACAAAGGAAACTTCACAAATCTTGTTTTATATCTTCATCAAGATAATGTTCATCCACACATTTATGGTTTTTGCTCCTACAACGTTGAGAAACTCGTTATACATTATTGTAGAAAATATTATGTTAAGAGCGCGATTGTCTATTTCTATAATGTGAAGAACTCTTTGGAAGTCTTGGATAAGCTATCATATTCTTTGAAGGTTAGACTGGTCGGTTTCTTGTCGTAGACATCAATGATTAATTTTACTACACTAACGCATAATCTTATCATACATAGACTTTCGTATTCAATAAAATTGTCTTTCGAACAAACTGGGTGTTGCTGTATACAATAAAAAAAATCTACAGTTTTTACATTTTCTTTTTCAGTAATAAAGTTTACAAAAACATATAGCATAAAAGGTATAAAACGAGAAGCTTTTTTCTGGAAAATATGTGTGTTCGTTTTGGAGATAAATATATCGTCAAGTGAATAATATTCCAATATTTATCAATTTATTGTTGTGGGTCAATTGAAACTTTATAGAAACTTTATAGCAAAGCTTCACACATACATGTACACACGAACATTCATTCAACTGTTTACAAAACTTTTAATTTTTCGAAATACAAAGGATTTTCTACCCCAGGAATAGATTACCTTAGCTTGATTTTTACAAAACCATTTGGAATTTTTGGTCGTCAATGCTCTTCAACTTAGCACTTGATTTGACCTTTTAACTATTTATATTCAAACGTCACATATCAGTGTTTTGTCGACGAAACACGTCCGGCGTATTAATTTATAAGCCTGGTATCTTTGAAAAGTTTTTCTTATAGCCTCGTCCTTTGGTCTCTGGTGGATAGTTACCACATTTTTCTTATTTCTTATAACTAAAGTGAACAGAATAATCTTACGAAATGTCTTGGACAACACCGTGGACAAGTTTTAGTCGCGAAGAAAGAAAACGAAATATTTTAAAGAATATTCGTACTGTATTCGGGATACTTAATTTACGTGAACATAAAGGAGTAAGGATGGGTTTAAAATACATCATTGCATTGAATATGCTTATGACAGTGACGAGATGGCATTATCTTATGATGCCATTCTTGTGGGGATATGTTGTTTATTTGTTGTAAATAAATTTTGGAATGGAAACTAATGCGCTCTGATTACGGTTATATTAAAAGTTATTATATGATGCTACATATACAAATTCGCAACATTGTCATGCAGTTTGAATATCATACGAAATTTATTTACATTAAGGTTATCTCAATCATTATTTATTCTTGATGCGATACACTAAATTTATTACGTCGTTAAATATATATATAATCGAAAATCACATAAAAATTAACATCCTTGTCTCCCAAGAATAAGAAGATAAGATAAGAATTTTATTAATCTAATCAAGAACCCATAAAGGGCATCATTTACAACAATATTAAGCACAATATGATTGGAAAAAAGAAAAACTATATCCTAATATAATACTATCATATATTGGACAGGATCAGAGCCTAACACATCATGTGTCTTACATAACATTAACAATAATTGCATAATAATTTTATATATTTTGTATCCACCTGGATCTTATTTCTAAACACTTAATTATATAATTGCCTAGGCACATAAGAGTTGGTAAATGCTCATTTGTGAACAGCCAGAAATATTTTTTATCCTTGGGTAATTCTTTAAAATTATTACAAAAACTGTTTACTTTATCCCATAATAATTTTCTCTGTTCGTTATATAAAGGACAACTTACTGTGAAATGGGTCTCATCTTCAATAGAATTTGATCCATGTGATAGGCAGTGATGACATAGACGCTGACTTCTCTCTATGTATTTTTTACTATACCTATCTTTCTCAATTTTAAGATCATGTGCACTTATTCTCAATTTACATATAGCTCTTCTTATATTAAAATCTTTAATTGATAAATAAGCCTCCTTTACGAAGTCAGTCTTGAGGTTGAAATAATTTTCTAATTTACTATTACCTTGTGATAAGGTATCAGATCTTTTGACCCCCCAAAATGTTTTAAAACTGTTACAAAGTTTACATTTTACAAATTTAATTAATCTATTGAGCTTTGTATTCAAATTTTGTATATCAAGTGATTGAAGGACATATCTCATAGATGAATACCAACAATTAATGTTTCCTGCATCTAAAATTTTATTACAAACATAAGCATCATAAAGTAACCCATCGTCCAATTTGTTAAGCCTGTGTACATATTTTACCATAGATATAATGACAGAAAAATAAAGAGGAAATCTTGCAACCTCTGATAACACTGCCAAATTTGAGGCTTTTTTATTTACACCAAGAATATATTTTAGATACCTGAAATGTGATTTTTCCAAATAATCATTTATGTAAATTAATTCAAATAGATAATCACTTTTTTTCTTGCAAGCAGCAGAGTTAATCTTAAAGGTACCCCAGATTTCACTACAATATAATAAAATTGGTTTTATTGTGTGATCATATAAATGGATTGCAGTATCAATACTTGGATTACAAGCTGACATGGATTTTTGTAGTTTAAATTTTGCCTTTAAGGACTTTTTGAATAGCTCTTCTTTCCCCTGCTGAAAAAGACCACTGGAAGTAAAGACTATCCCTAAATATTTATATCTGTTAACACATTCTATAGCCTCATTATCTAAACAAAGTGATTCCTTCAAAAATTTTCCAGGCTTGTTAAAAATTAAAACTTTTGTTTTGGACAAGTTAACATCTAGACACCAATCAATACAATAAGTTTGCAGGTTATCAAGTCGGGTTTGCAGACCCTGTTTAGTGTTTGATAATATAATAATGTCATCGGCGTACATAAGACAATCAATTCTACGCCCATTGATATAAACAGCATCTGGACTCGACTCAAATCTTGGAGGCAGATCGTTAATGAAAAGCTTAAATAAATTTGGGCTTAGAACATCCCCTTGCCTAACCCCAACTAGCGAGCTGAAAGATGGCGTTAGTACATTACCCACTTTCACCGACATTTCATTTTTTCTGTACATGTCTTTTAAAATAGTATAAAATTTTCCAGATATGTTATTTTCCAATAATTTGTATCTAATACCACAGTGTATGACCCTATCAAAAGCCTTTTTAAAGTCCACAAAGCAAGCATAAATTTTCCCCCCTTTTCTGTTAGTATATTTATCTAATATGGTTTTTAAAACAAACATATGGTCAGATGTTCTGCTCTTTTTTGAGAAACCAACCTGACATGGATGAATTATATTATTTTTATCAAGATGAATGTCAAGTCTTTTATTAAGAATACTGTTAAATAATTTTCCAATGCATGAATTAATTGCTATGCCTCTGTAATTTTCAGGTTTACTAGGACTCCCTGCTTTAAAAATTGGACATATATAAGACAATGACCATTTGCGAGGGTATGTTCCAGAGCAGAATATCAAGTTAAAAAGTTTCTGCAAAACAGGTGCAAATATACTACCCCCTGATTTTAATATCTCGTTTGGGATACCATCTAGTCCTGCAGCTTTATTATTCTTTAGTTTATTTATAGCATCCAAAATTTCTTTTAGGGTTATTTTGTAATCCAGTTCACAAAAAGTTGGATTATTTTCTAATTTTTTTACTTTCTTGTTAATTTCCTCTAATCTGTCTTTAAATTTGTCAGAGTTGAGATTTAAAGATTGAAAATATGAAAACCAGACGTTAGTTTGAATAGAATGTTCTGGACCATCCAAATTGTCTTCTTTTAATTCTTTGATGAGATTCCAATAACTCTTTGGATTATTATCCCTTAGATTATCCAGACTGTCAAGAATGTTTTGTTTAAATTTCCTTTGTTTATATTTACGTAGCTTATTATACTCCCTATAACATTTATAGTAAGACCCTTTTATAATTGGGTCCCAGGGGAATTTTGATAACAGCTCACCTTTAAAAA